GCCAGAAATATCAAAATTATGTAATATATACTTTATTGATTATAGATGATTACAATATTATATTATTTTGTTATAATATATTAGTAATTATATTATGTGTTAATAATCTACAGTTAAATTCAGAGTCTAAGACTGGTAGAAATTTAATAATTCAAGTCCTAACCAAAAACTTAAAGTAGTGTCTAGAAATAAAGACAGATCCAAGCAGGGGGGCTTTCTGTAAAATCATATGTTCAGGTCCGATAAAATAAATTTCCAGATATTGAAGAAGTCCTTTAGTTATTACTCTGAGGACTCCAGTCACAATTGGTATAACAAGAGAGTTCTTTTTCCATAAGCGTTCAACTTTGATCTTAATATGGCATAATTTTTTTCCAATTGTTTTTCTTCAATCCTAGCATCATTTGGAATACCAACATCAGTGAAATAGATTTCCTTCTTTTCAGTAATTGCTATATCAGGCATGTTATGAAAAAGTTGCCTGTTTGGATCTTAAAATTCCATACCATTTTAATGTGCTCATTTTCCAAAAAAATTTCTCAACGTGATGGCTGCAGTTACTACATTCAAATCCAAACCTCTGGCAATGTTTCCAGTGAATAATTTTGGCAACTCAGTCATGACACTGATTGTAGTCAGTTTGTGAATTTTTGCTGTAGCCACTGGTCAAATGGTCAATTGTTTCATCCTTTTTACTACAAAGGCAACATTTGCTATTGTTTTGTGACATGTTAAATTTTAGAAATAGTCTTTCTTTAGGTTGATAAAGAAGTGAGACAAAGCTGTTCAGTCTCCCCTTACATACTGAATTGACAAGCTGAATATATACGAAGGGAAGCTGAATTAGATAAATACAAGACTTATAAAATTGGAGGTGGAAACATCAATAATCTGTGCTGTGTTAATGATACAACGCTGATAGCTGAAGATGCAAGTAATATGGAGGTTCTAGTCAAAGAGTACAGTGAAAACATGTGTTTGAGATTAAATATACCAAACTAATGACAAGTACAGAAACCAGCTTTAGAATTAACAGTGAAGATACTGGATGGCTTCTGCCTTTTAGGATTGATTTAAGGAGTGCAGAAACATGTCACATAATAGCACATGGTAGGTTAGCACTGAAGGTCTTTATCTGGATATCTTTTCAGATATTATGATGCATTTATAGCTACAAAGTTTAGAACTGTGCAGGCAGTTGTTTTCTCTGGGACACTCTGGAAATGAAAATTGAAGAAGTAGGATAAGAAAGAGTATTGATGCATTTGAACTTTGGAGATGGACAAGACTCCTGAGAATACTATGGATAGCCAAGAAAACAAATAAATGGATCATATAATAAATGAACCCAGTGTTCTTGAGACACAAATCACTAGGCTCAAATTATCATATTTTGAACACATTATGCAAATACTTATCCAGTGAGAAGTCTATAACAGTGGCCCCCAACCTTTTGGACACCAGGGACCAATTCTGCAGAGAGAGGTTTTTCCACGGACCGAAGGAAGCGTGGTTTCACGTACTGCCTGTATCCCACGGATGGAACTTCACTTGTTTGTGCGGTCCAGTTTCTTGCATGCCTTAAGTAGACTCAATTATAATGGAAATGGATGACTGTTAGAAGTGCCAAGTTGGGGACAGATCCTCCTGGAGAAGGTTTATCTGTATAGGTACAGGTAGTCCTTGACTTACAATCATTCATTTAGAGACTATTCAAAGTTACAAAAGCACTGCAAAAAGTGACATCTGACCATTTTTCACCCTTAAGACTTCCTTAAGCATTCCCAAGGTCATATGACTAAATTTCTGATGCTTGGCAACTGGTTCATATTTATGACAGTTGCAGTGTCCCAGGGTTATGTTATGATCACCCTTTGCAACCTTCTGCCAAGCAAAAGTCAAAGGGGAAGCCAGATTTGCTTAACAACAGTGTTACATTATATTAACAACGGCAATGATTCACTTAACAACTGTGGCAAGAAAATTGTAAAATGGAACAAAATTAATTTAACATTTAGCAACAAAATTTTGGGGCTCAATTGTCATAAGTCAAGGACCACTATATTGTCTCTCTGAGACAACACCAACTTGATGGCACATAACTAGTGGTGGGATTCAGATATATGAACAATCAGTTCTTTGCATAGATCAGTGGTTCTCAACCTTTTTAATGCCGCGACCCCCAACCGGTCGTACGTCGAGGACTACTCAACCGGTCGTAAGTCGAGGACTACTCAACTGGTGCAGCACCGTTCGCAGAATGGGACTTTTGGCGGGCTCAGCAGGGCAGAGACAGCCTGGACAATTCCTATTGGCTTTTGAAAGCCAATAGAATTAGACTCTATTCAAGAGAGTCTATTCTATTGGCTTTCAAAAGCCAATAGAATAAAAGGGAGTAGCACAGCTAAGGAAAAGGGAGAAAAAAATGGCGGACTGCATTGTTTGGCGACCCCCATGAAATGGTCGTTCGACCCCAAATGTGGTCCCGACCCACAGGTTGAGAACCACTGGCATAGATGCTGCTTCCAGAAGTCCATTCTGGGCCTGGGCCTCCAAAGCCCAGAACGGACTTCCGGAAGCAGCGTTCACATATTTCCGGCAGGCCATTCTGGGTCTCGGAGGCATCCTCCGTGTCTCCGAGGCCCAGAATGGACTTCCAGAAGCGGCGTCCATGAACTTCCGGAGGGCCGTTCTGGGCCTTGTGAAAAAGGGCTAGGGCTTCAGTGGGCACCATCCAGTAGTGGGATTCAGCTGGTTCACTAAACTCAAAAAATTAGCTATCGGTTCTACTGAATAGGTGCGAACCAGCTGAATCCCACCCTTGCATATAACTGATCAGTCAGTTTGAATCAAGGGCATGCTAGTGATAGTCCCTCCAAGCAAATCTAATGTGAGGGCTACTCAAGCCAATTCTTGTGCAATGTTCAAGTTGCCGTTAGGTATCTAGCTCTGAATTGGGTAGTTTCAGTTCTAACCAAACTATAGGCCTTATTTTGCTATGATAATGTAAAGCTAGTTTAGTTTTATAGGCTGTGTAGATCTTAATGATGAGCCAAAAATCAGACCAAATGGGATTAATGAATTTGGAGGGATGGGAGGAAAGGGAATTCTCCCTATAAATTTTCAACATAAGGAGCAGGTTCCTATCTTAGAGAATTCACAGTTCCTGTTTTTCAGCAGGTGGAGGTGTGGCCAGAAATTACGATTAGTGTGCCAGTTGCAGCTCTACCTGAGGCGAGAGGACTCAGTGGTTAGAATAAAGTATTGCCGGCTAAATTCTGCTGACTGTCAACAGTTTGATTCTGACCAGTTCAAGGTTGACTCAACTTTCCATCCTTTTGTGGTTGATAAAATGAGGACCCAGATTGTTGGGGGCAATATGCTGACTCTAAACCTAAACCGCTTAGAGAGGTCTGTAAAGCATTGTGAGGTGGTATATAAGTCTAAGTGTTATTGCTATTGCTAAGACTGAGGAAGAAGAAATGGTGCTAATAATATTTCTATTTTTCCTATTCCTTTTGTTTGATAAAAAAGCAATGGATGTTTTCATGTTTTTGTTTCCAGATTTATTTTGTGTCACATAGAAATAGGGATTTTCTATTGTGGTTACGTAATCATTCCCATGTATGAATAGTGACAAGTTTCAAAAGTGTTAATACTTACTCACACTTCATTTTCTGTAGAAGGAAATTGTTTTTATGTTCTAAAGTTTATATACACATAAATATTATACATAAGCTGACTGTACAGATTCATAATATTATTTCAGTTGATTTTTGTTGCACAGTTGGAGTGCTAATGGATTGTAGACCTACAGCAAAATCAGCTTTCTGCTTTCTTTTCAGAACTAGTTCCAGGATTACCCCATCTTACTGCTGCACACACAGCAACTTATCCTGGTCCAACCATATTAATTACTAATGAAAAGGCAAGAGGTTTCCCACTAAAGTTATATACCTTTATAGTTCTGGTTGTTAAGGAATCCTAATTTTTTCCCCACTCCAATCCCAAATATATGATAATATATTTGGACATTGGATGTTATAGTTCTACCCTCTGGATCTACTTTACATCCATTTTGTGAAACTGTCCTGCTACCTGAGAACATCTCTCTATAATACCAAAGGGAAAGCCATAAAACTTAAGCTAGGTACCTAAATTATCTTTGTGTTGCTCAGATGTGAGATGCGTGATAATGACAGATGAATATTTGATCTGAAAAAAATTGAAATAAGAATTCTGTTTCCATTTGCTTTAAACCATGAGTTACAAATTGTAAATGTTTAGTTTAAACTATTATTTTGGAACCGGTGTACTTGTGTAATGTTTAATGCATCTGTTATGTAATTTATTGTCATAAGAATAGTTAATATTTACACAAAGCAGCTGGTATAGTGCATAACAGACAATTGTATCCCATTGGTAAAGTTTAAAAATGGATATCTTCCAAGATGTAGCTAAAAAGTGTGAAATACTGGTTTCTGTTTTGCAGTTTATAAGATTAATATTTCAGAACAGTGTTTTTTGCATAGTGAAAAGTGAATTTTCTCTTTTTTACTTGCCTTAATCTTTTTATTGATTTCAGTCCATTAAGTCAGTATCTGTTTAAAAGTAAAATAGTGCCAGATCAAATATCATCTTGTGATGCTTTTCAAATGCTCACTTGTTGTTGCCATTGTTTTCTTTTTTTAACCATCACTGTTCTTGGAATCTCTCTTGCCTTTGTTGCTATTTAACTGCAACTCATATGTGGATGTTAGGGATGCTAAGAAGTTAAACCACATCAGTCACACCAGGCCGAAAAAGGAGGCATGAAATTGGAGTAATTTTATTTTGTTTAAATAGTAGATGCTCTATTTTGTGGAAAGAATATAGTTTTAAGTTCAGCCTTAAAACACTTAAAAATGAATACCAATTCTACCTTATGTATAGAGTTTCATCACTTTTAGATACATGCAATGTATATTATTAATGCAAGTCCCCCACTTTTTTTTTTTCAGCCAGTTCAAGGCTTTGACTACGCCAAGCAACATTTAGGCCAACAAGGGACTGAAGATGATGTTTTGCCTGTCACCCAAGAGACAGTAGTCTTGCCTCTTCCAGTGAGAGATGCTCCTGCATCCCAGGAAAGGGAAATCGTTCAGGATGGGAGCACAGCAAAAACTGCCAAGTCCAATGACACAAGAAAGAGGTCAGCAATATCAGCAGAAAGACTAGGACTTAGATAGTTGACAGATTTTTGTAATTGTTTCCTTGCTTATAATTGTAGTCTTTTCACACACAAAAAAAATATGCTCAAACCTCTGTGGTACAATATATTTGAATACTTAGGATTTAAAAAAAAATTATCAAGAAAAAACATTGATAAAATAGTGCATCATTGCAATATCTGCACATGTGAAACCTATTCATCCTGTTCTGAATGGAATTATGGGTGCTTTGAAGAAACTGGTTCATAGTTTGGGAGGGTGCCCCTAGATGCCCAATAGGTCACACAGTACAGAAAACTTTTCCCATTTCCCATTGGTGCATGACATCCAAAGCTTTCTGAACAAAGACAAGTAGGCAATTGCTACTCAATTTCTATTATTTCTAGAAATTACTATCGTAATGTATTATTCATAGAACTTTAATTGGTTCACATTATAACTGCTAAATTGCTCTTTGGAATGGAGTATATTATTCGATGGCTAATATCCTGGCACAATTTTATATATGAACTAGGTTTGTTTTTAAAACCCAAACTGGATGGTGCCCTTTAAGAATTGCTTTTTTTTTCTCCTCTGACAAGTCTCTCAGTGTATGTCAGGGATAGGGAACTTGTAGATCCCAGATATTGCTGAAATTCATCTCCCAGCATGAGATGCAAATCATGCAAAAAGACCTCAAAATGTTAGCATGTGTATCATGATCATATTGTGCAGTTGTTCTGAAATTAAAATCTAGAATCCGATACCATTATATATTATGACAATAATTGTGTCTTGGGGATGAACAATTGGAATTCAAACAATTTCAAAATCGGCATGCTCTATTTTGCATCCAAAGCAGTTGCTTCTAATTCAGAAATGGCTGTTTTAACCATTTTCGAAGTATTTTTGAGCTCAAAACAATCTGAATAAGAAAGTAAGAATAGTCTGTTTGAAAGGACCAGTCTAATACATTTATATCATTTGCACAAACAACAAACTAAAATTCCTGATTTAACTGGTTTACTTTGAATGATCAATATATTCCTCACATAACTTATTTGCACGTTCTTTGTCCAAATTATATACAGATCATGCTGTATAGTTTACCATAGAGTCTGAAACTAAAGATCATTAATAACAAAACAAACATACAAAAACCCGGTATCAAAACCATGCAGTTTTAGAAGCAAGAAACTAGAAAGAATACCTTAAGACTGGAAGATTGTTAGGTCTGTCTTACATGTTAACAAAGGACTACTCTCATGCATGTACCCATCTATCTTGGAATACAATAGGAACAGGATATATATTTTAAGGTTATGAGAGAGTTTAATTTCCTTAGTTTTCTTCGTTGGGAAAATCAGAGCATAGAATACATCAGACAAATGTATTCTGCTTTTTTCCCCAGTTACAATCACAGCAGAACAAGGGTAAAGAATAGTCAGAGTAATACCTCATAAAACTTAAATAAATGGTTGTGAGTTGTCACTTGATATTTCTTTGAAGCATCTCAGCTTCAGAGATAAATAGATACCATTCTATGCATGCCTTAGATTTGTTCACCTGATTTGTGCACAGTGACATAGAAGAAATTACAAATGTTGACTTCATCTCCAGCTAACTATTTCACTTTATGCTTAGACCTGTTTATTCTATGCTTAGACCTGGACATTGGATGAACTGTTCCAAATAAGGATGAGTGAAATAAATTCTATTCAAAATAGACTTAATAATCATGGCTTGCTTTAATAAGGCATAGGGAGTGTGATGGTTGGTTTAGGGCTATTTTTTAAAATGTAAGCAGATAGTTCCCATTTTCTTGCAGATTTGACTATTAAACCTGCTGTGCTCTGCTGTTTGCTTTACTGTTTTAAAATTTGTGCATAACATTTACACAGACTGTGAAATTGTATAGTGAATATGAATCCACATCTGAATATCTTTTCGTTATACATTCACAAAAGGAAATCTTTCAGTGGTTAAAAGATATAAGCTTTCTCCCTCTTTCCAGAGACTATTAAACATTTTAGATTATTATAAGTGCCCTTTATCCTAGTGCTGTTTTTGAAATGTGGCTAAAGATGAATTCCCTACTGGAAAATGCTCTTTATTTCTCTTCTGATTGTATAAAAAGGCATGGAACGAGTCTGAAGCAATATGCTAAACCAATGTTAGAATAAAGATGCATGTATTGAGAATTATTTATTTAATGACCTCTGTGCGAGAGAAAAAAACCTTTGTCTTTTTTTGTTGCAAGATTTTCCCTTTATTATTGTGAGCTTATAAAGAAAACGATAGCCAAACATAGACATTGTTCTGACTTCTGGTTGTTATAACAACCCCCTCCCCTGGAAATACTATGGATGCCTTCCTGCTGTTTTTATGTTTCTTCATTGCAACATGCTATAAATATTTATTTGTCTATAAAAATCAGGCTTGGAATAGGCGGTGATGCAGGCCAAGCAAATGCAATAACCTTGAAATGACGAATATGCAGGAAAAACTTAGTCTTCTTCCTTGTTGCTATGGTTACTTGCAGCCGGTCGCTGAGTGAAAATTGTTCTGTCATCAGCAACGAATCAGGAAAGCCCAATTCAGGCCGAGGCTCTCCACAGAAAGTAACAGCACAGCAGAAAGTGACAAAAGAGGAGGGAAGAAAAAGAAATGGTGAGAAATGCGCTCTGGTGAATGATCTACTAACTTACCTTTCATTTCTCCCATGCTGGCTCAGGAATTCTGGGAGTTGAAGTCCATGAGTCATAAAAGAGCCAAGGTTGCATACCCCTACCCTTAAAAATATAACACTGAATATAATATTGCAGTTAATTGGAATCAATGCCATACATCTATCTATGATACACTTCTCTCTCTTTTTCTTTTTCTTTCTTTTTGTTTATTTATAACCCTTATTTCAGTTCTGTAGACCACCACTTTAGTATGACCTCAGTCTTTATTCCAACTTTGATCACTGCTGCGTGTCCTGGTGTATTAGGGAAAAATATGGCAGCGTGGTCTGAATCTAAATTTGATTTATAATGCATTCTTTTCCATTTCTATTTTGATGTTGCTTTAATTGGGCCAAATTTGTTAACGTCCCTTAATTTTGTTAACTGAGTATAAAAATTGTGGTACCAAGTTGTAACGTGCTATTTTTTTTCTTAAACATTGTCCCTTTTGTTGTATCTTTCTGTGTGGTCCTTAGAAGAGAAGTAGGCTTTTTGATTTTAAGTTACCAGTTATGTTTAATGACAACTGGATATTAATTTTCAATATGCTATGTGATGTTGTTTGGATTGTGTAAAGTGTTACTTCTTTTGTCTTAAACTCTAAAAATAAATTGTAAAAAAATGTCTTTTTGCTGATGAAAATGACGTCTGAAATTTCACAACTTCTCTTAAAAATGTGCAGAAAGAACTTCTGCATTAAATGTATATGTGAGAAGCAGTATAAAGTTGAATTAATATAATTAATATAAAAATCTTAGGATCATCATACTACTGATATTGAAAAGTTACATTATATTATAGAATATTTTTCTCAATATATTGGTTGAAAGTGATGCTATTAAATATGAACAGTTTAATGGTATGGTGCATAAATATTTATATCTGTGTATAATTGATATATTTATACATTTATAATTACCTGAAAAGTGTCCACAAATTTTTGTGTTACCAGCATACTTACTATTCAAAGCACGTAATCTCTGGTATCATTTCTCATAAAGTTTAAGTCTTTAAAGATTTTCTGAAAAAAAAAAAACTCCTGCTTGGTGCACATCAAGCTGCATTTGTGAAAGTGGTACACGCGTGCGTGCAAAACCATCTCCTCTCCCACTCCACCCCTTCTGCTGAGGTGGAAAAGTTGGGGACTGCTGTTTTAGGGGAACTGCCCTGACCCATAAACATTTTGGTTTCTTTTCTTTTTTGCATGTTTTTCTCGCTTACAATTTTTTAAGGTGCATTGACTAGACATGTACACAGTAATTGAAGTATATGATTACCATAATTTTTTATAATGACATTATTATTACATAAGGAATTATTTACTAATTTTAGAAAGATCTTTTGGGAGTTCATCATTTGAATTTTACTATTTTGAATAGTTTATCATTAGGCAACGTGGCCACTTCATTGCTAAACCCCAACTCCAGATATTTATGTACAAGTTAAAAAGCATACCAGTCTTTATGGGGCCTCACTTTGCAAACCTTGCCAGTATTAAAATTAACTACTTTCCCCCTATTTCTCTGTTTTGTTTGTTACAAGTTGCCAATCTATAAGAACACTTGTCGATATACCCAGTGACAGCAGGATTTGTTTAGTATTTTTTCAAGAACTTTGTCAAATGCTTTTGACAAACCAAGTGTGCAGTGCAATTTTTTACTGGCCTTATAGGCATAATTTCAATGCATTTCTGTCGGGCTCATCTCAGCCCTATTGCAAAAACAAATACTTTGCTAAACAGTACAGTGCATGATCTCTTAACAAGAGAAAGAGAAAGGGGCGTTGTCTTACCTGAACGCCTTTTCTCAGCATGATGATGGAGAATCCACGTATGGGTTGTCTTAATCTATCTGCTCCAATTGGACTAAGTCTGAAATTGGTAACGCCCCCTCTGTGCCAAGTGCACCCCAGTTTTAGACTAAGGCGATACCCAGACTTTAGTCCGATGCGTCTGAACAAATGGGAACCAGGCCAACTGACCTAATGGGAGGGAGTGGATTCTCCATCATCATGCTGAGAAAAGGCGTTCAGGTAAGACAACGCCCCTTTCTCCAGCATGATTGGATGGAGAACCCACGGATGGGACATACCAAAGCCCTGTGTCCCTAGGGTGGGAAATTAGATTGGGCCTGGGTCCCATCCAATGTTAATGCGTGTTCTAGTACCTTGCGGCCGAATGAAGCCGTAGAGGATGCGTATACATCCATCTTGTAGTGACGGACAAAGGAGGAGGGCGATGCCCATGTTGCTGCCCTACAAACTTCCTCTATGGATGCCTGGGTAGACCAGGCTGCTGTAGTGGCTGCGCCCCTGGTGGAATGGGCCGTGATATGGCTGGGAGCTTGAAGTGACTGAGTCTGGTATGCCAGAGAAATACAAGCTCTAATCCACCTGCCTATAGTGGGCGAGGAAACCTTTTGTCCTAATGACGATGGGTGAAATGACACAAACAGAGCCTCAGTCTTGCGGAAAGATGAGGTTCTCTGTATATAACAATATAAGGCCCTGCGAACATCCAATCTGTTCCACTGAGCCTCTGTGTTATTAGATGGGTTCGGACAGAAGTCCGGCAAAACTATGTCCTGGGACCTATGATATAAGGAGTTAACCTTGGGCACAAAGGAGGGATCTAACCTGAGAGTAACCCTGTCCTTATGGAAAATACACAGGTCCTTTCTTACTGACAGGGCAGCCAGCTCAGAGATCCTTCTGGCTGAAGTTATAGCAACCAGAAATGCCACCTTCATTGATAAATGTTTGAGCAAACAAGTGTCAATAGGCTCAAAGGGTGGTGAGACGAGAGCCTGTAGAACCTGATGAAGGTCCCAGGAGGGATATCTATGTACCGTTGGTGGTCTGGCATTGTTAGCTCCCTTTAGGAAGGAGCGTATCATAGGGTGTTGTGTTAAGGGCTCCTTGCCATAGGAAATAACCGTGGCAAGTGCTGCTACCTGCCTACGGATGGTACTTGTGGAAAGACCTTTGTCCAGACCATCCATCAGGAACTCCAGGATAACTGGCACTGCAGCCTGTAAGGGTTCAATATTGTGTGCTAAACACCAATTACAGAAGCTCTTCCACGTGGCATCGTATATTCTATTCGTCGAGGGTCGCCTGGATTGCTGGATCATGGCTATGACCCTTGACGAATATGAGTCTAGGCCTAAGGCCTGCCTCTCAAGTGCCAGACGGTTAACTGGAGCCATTGAGGGTCTGGATGATGTAACTCCCCCTGAATGAGGGAGATCCGATTGGCTGGAATCCTCCATGGAGCCGATGCGGAGAGCTCCATCAGGTCGGCGAACCAAGGTCGTCTCGGCCAATGTGGGGCGACCAGGAGAACCTCTGCTTGTTCGCGAAGGATCTTCCTGATCGTGGCCGGTAGGAGAGGTAGTGGAGGAAAGGCATAGAGCAGTTCCCTGGGCCAGGGACTGCGGAGTGCATCTGTTCCTTCCGCTGATGGGGACGGGAACCTGGAAAGGAATCTGGGAAGCTGTGAGTTGGCTGGGGAGGCAAACAGATCTAGGGTTGGGGAACCAAACCTGTCCACGATCTCTCTGAAGATCTCCGGATTCAGCTGCCATTCGGAATGGTCCACGGTGGCTCTGCTCAGTGAGTCCGCCTGCTGGTTGGCCACTCCGGATATGTGCTCCGCCCTGATGGAGGCAAGATTCAGTTCCGCCCAAGACCCCAGCAATCTGGCCTCCTGCATGAGAGGCTTGGACCTCGTTCCCCCCTGTCTGTTGATATGGGCCTTGGCTGTGATGTTGTCGGTTAAGACCAGGACGTGCTGGCCCTGTACTAAGCTGCTGAATCTCTTTAGGGCCATGTGTATGGCTCTTAGCTCCAGCCAATTTATATTGTTCTTTAGATCCTGCCTGGACCATTGCCCTTGGGCCCAGCGTGTGTGGAGGTGTGCCCCCCACCCAAATAGGATTGCGTCTGTGGTGATGGTGATCCTGTCTGGTTCTTTGAATTCTGCTCCCCGTGACAGTGCTGGAGAGTCCCACCAACGAAGGGAGTTCAACACCGCCTGTGGAACTCGGACCTTCTGGTGGGATGTGCTGGTATGAAGTCTCTGAAATGGAAGGAGAAGCCACTGTAATTCCCTGGCATGGAGACGTGCCCATGGCACAATTTGCACGCAGGACACCATCTTCCCTAGTAGCTGTGAAAGGGATGCCAATGTGACTACTCTGTCCCTTCGGATCCGACGTACAAGAGTCTGGATAGAGTTCCGTCGGTCCTGAGATAGGTATACCGTGCAGTTGTCTGTGTCTATAACTGCCCCCAAATGGAGGAGCCGAGTTGATGGTACAGTCTGACTTTTCTGGAAATTAACGGAAAACCCGTGCTTCTGCAGAACTTTGATGGCTAGGGCGAGATCTGCTCGGGCCCTCTGCCATGATGATGACTGAATTAGAATGTCATCTAAATAACATTGAATCCTGATGGGAATTAGTCTAAGGTGGGCTGCGATCACTGCCAGTACCTTTGTAAATACTCTCGGTGCAGATGAGAGGCCAAATGGAAGGGCTCTGTACTGGTAATGGCGTCGGGCATAACTAAATCTGAGGAATTTGCGGTGTCCAGGAAAAATGGGAATGTGCAAATATGCCTCAGTCAGGTCTATGGAGGTAAGAAAGTCACCTTGCCTGATTGAAGTGATTGCATCTTAAATTTCTTATACCTCAGGTAGAGGTTTAGACCTTTTAAGTTCAAGATCGCCCTCCAGCCCCCTGAAGCCTTGGAAATGACGAAGAGGTCTGAGTAAAACCCTCGCCCTTCTTGTTCTTTTGGAACTGGTTCAATTGCTTGTATTTGCAATAAATGAGCTATTGCTTCTGACATAAGTTCAGCTCTGGCCCTGTTCGTTGAAATAGGAGAAGAGCGGAACCTGTCGGGTGGATGGGAATAAAACTCTAATCGTAGGCCTTGGGA